ACACCACCTCCTTCAGCAGCGTTTGACCACCATAGATCAGCAACATTGGCTCGTGAAGCTTATGAGGTTCCAATTTGAAGTTATATATAAGCCTGGTCCAGAAAACAAAGCTGCGGATGCCTTGTCTAGACAAATGGAATTCGTTGAGTTACACATAATTGCTATGAGCCCTTTTTGGACAGACTTTCCAAAGGCTCGTGATGAGATTCAGCAAGATCATGAGTTGATTAAGTTGAGAGACCAGATCCTGGCTAGTGAGGTTCCTAATACCAATTATACTTGGCGCGATGGGTATCTATTCTTCAAAGTTAGGTTGGTGCTTCCGACAAGTTCTACCTTCATCCCCACTCTTCTAAAACAATATCATGAAACACTGATGGGAGGACACTCAGGGTTCAATAAGACGTATAAGCGTCTTGCCAGCAGTTTCTTTTGGAAGGGAATGAAACAAGCCATTATGACATATATTCGTGAATGTGAAATTTGTCAGCGTAACAAATATGAGGCTATGTCTCCTGCTGGGTTGTTGCAACCCATTCCCATCCCTCATGTTGTTTGGGAAGATAATTCTCTTGATTTTATCACGGGTCTTCAACGCTCACATGGATTTGAGGTGATACTGGTGGTTGTGGACAGACTGTCCAAATATGCACATTTCCTTCCCTTGAAGCATCCTTTCTCAGCAAGGACTGTTGCAGAAGTGTTTGTCCGCAAGGTGGTGAAGTTACATGGTTTTCCCAAGTCTATCATCAGTGATAGGGATCCCCTTTTCTTGAGTCGCTTTTGGAAAGAATTATTCCACCTTCAAGGTACTGTGCTGTGTATGAGCACCTCATATCATCCGCAAACGGATGGACAAACGGAAGTGGTGAACCGCTGTTTGGAAACATTCTTACGATGTTTTTCCTCTGAAAAACTAGCCAAATGGCACATGTGGCTCTCTTGGGCTGAATTTTGGTATAACACCTCCACTCATACAGCTACAGGTTCCACCCCTTTTGAGATTGTATATGGTCGTCCTCCACCCTCCATTATCCAATACCTCCCTAGTGAGACTCAAGTAGACTCGGTTGCTGCTATTTTGAGTGATCGAGATGAGGCACTCCGACAACTGAAATTCCATCTCCATCGGGCTCAGCAAACCATGAAGAAGAATGCTGACAAACATCGCCGACAACTTGAATTTAGTGTGGGTGATTGGGTATATGTTAAGCTCCGCCCTCATCGCCAACTCTCAGTAGCTCGGCGCCTCAATCCCAAGTTGTCTCCTCGTTACTATGGGCCATTTCAAATTTTGTCTAAGGTGGGAGCCGTAGCTTACAAGTTGTAGTTTCTAAATACAGCTCAAATTCACCCGGTTTTCCATGTGTCCCAACTGAAACGTTCTATTACCAAGGGATCCTCTTTATCTGCCATGCCCCCTGGTCTCATTTCTGTCGAGGAGGACTTTCCAGCACCAGAGACAGTGTTGGCAGTACGAGAAGGCAAGGATTCCTCTTGTTCTGCAGAATGACTCATCTTTTGGAAGTCACAACCTGTTGAGAAGGCCATTTGGGAGTTTGCTGCTGACATTCGTGCCAAATTTCCGGATTTTAGCCTTGAGGACAAGGCTAATTTTGTGGGACACGGTATTGATAGAAACCATTCCTCCAAGTGGAGCAAACCCATTCAAGTCTATAGTCGGAGGCCCAAGAATAAAACCCAATACTGAGTGTTAGTGAGACTGCTGTTAGCTGGGAGGGGTATTTTAGAAATTGCAAATTCTGTTATTAGAAAGTGAGGGTTGGTTATATATTCTCTTTATAATAATGATGGGACATCTTTTGGAAATTGGTTAGTGATATTGGAAGCAAAGAAATACTCTTCTCTTGCTTGAGAGAGCTTGCTCTCTGGAAATCTGGTTTCTTTCCTCTCTATTATGTTATTTTCTTGCAGGTACCTATGATACATATTGTATCATAAACAGAGAATTTAATATAACATTGATAGATAATCTTTCATGTTTTAGCTTCTCTATGGATCATGTGGTTCCTTAATTTTACATGTATACCTTAAAAACAAAGACAACTAAAATTGAGGAAACACTTATAATTCACTTAAATTTCTAATAAAGCATGTATTGATTGTACTGTAAATAAAACCTGAAATGTGTGTGTTGGCTTTCCATCAAACCAAATATCTCATGCATGGTTCAATTTCTGTTATTAACAGTAGGTGCTGGCAGAATATTATCTTAGCCTTAAACAAACTAAACCATGAGAAAATCATTGACATCAAATGGAAAATAACTTCAATATGCAGACAATGTGTTCACAACATAAATCTAGGCATTTGTATAATTTCTACTTTCTAACCATTTTAAAACAAGCTCAACACTTCCTTAGATTAAAAACTATTAGTTATGATTCACAAATCTAATAACTGAAAGTAGGTCTACATTAGATTAAAAGGGAACGTGTAGATGATAATCTGAACGGCAATCAGAAGCTCATGCCCTTAGAAAGTTAGAACTACTTTCAACTTAACAAAAGGAATGAAGACAGCCAAATGTATGTATGTAGATGAATGTCTTTAAGCACTTTAATGATATCATTTCATCTTCTACTATTTCTATTAAGAAGTAACAATGAAATTGGAGAAAAAGACTTTACCGCAGACTCGATCCAACTTCTTGCAACAGAGACAAATACACAGATTCTTTACTTCAACACAAAGCTTCTCGGGTGAATAACTAGACAACAATTGTATAGTGCTAGAAATAAATGAGTTCTAAACGTTTTGAACTCTTTCTAAGTTTGAAAAAAATTTACACAAAAGAAGTAAATATATACTGTCCCTGTCACGTATGTTTCTGAGAAGTTGCATTTGCTATGATGCATACTCTTCACTCACTTTCTTGGCAGGCCCCTAGCGGGTCCTACATCCATTGGTCAAGGCTTTTCATTTCATTCTTGCTTTTTGACTATATATACAAAGTCTTTACATTTTGACTACGCAGAATCTCTAGCAACCCCTTTGTGACATCACATTTGTAGCTTTAGAGCACCTCAAGGGCAGTTGCTTATCCAAGTTCTCATAACACATTTAATAGAGAGTATTTGTATTTTATTAATAAACAATGATGCTTATTAGTAATTTTTATTGAAATATAATGACATAATATAAAAAATTATTTAAAAATAAATAACGATTTTTAAATAAGTAATCCTATGTTTCTTATAAATTAAACAATAACATATTTTAGTCTTGATTCCTTGAATGAACAACAAACAATACAAATCACTCTTACAAATATTAAAAAAAAAAAAGTCATGCATCATCAACATTGCATCACCCAGGAAAAAAAAATTAGTGACTCTCATGATCGCTATATATTTCTTATGTCTACGTGATTTCTTTATTTTTAATATTTAATATTTTTTATATACATTAAATTAATTGTGTTAATTTTATTATTAATTTTTTATATATTAAAATATTATTTCTTAGGTTTAATTAATTTAATATTTAATTATAATAATTACATTAATTTTTAAGTTGTCAAAAAGTGATGTGTAAATAAAAAAATTTATAAGAGTATGAATTACTTACAAGATCTCACCATTTGATTAAAATTCATAAAAATATATTTAGTTGTTTAAAAATGATACGGCATAATGAATTTCATTTAAAGTAAAATAAAAGTTTTAATATGTTACTTGTAAGAATCATCTTTGGAGATGTTCTTATATCTAAACATGTGTTCTTTTTTACATTTTAACATCAACGTTCTCCATGCGTATTGCCATGATGTAAGCAGGTTGCTTACCTATTTTTAACAATAAAAGTATTTTTTTTTTCAAGTTTAGGTTCTTAAAAAAGAGACATGGTAATTTAATCCACGAAAGCATTGCTCAAAAATTGAACAAACCTATGCCAAAAAAATCCTAATCAAAACTCAAAAAAAAAATCACATGGAGAAACAGGATACAAACTCAATTAGAAAATAAAAAATACACAAAATAGAACCAAATGCACACCCAAAAAAAAGGTCGAACTCAGTTACATGCATGCCGCATTTGCGCTCGAAAGGGAATGGAAAATCTTGAATGAGAGAGGCAAAAAAGAACAGGAAAATGATAAACAAAATCTACCCTCTAATAAAAGAGGTCCTAGAAGCATATGCCAATGAAAGATGCTTCACTTGTACTAGACAACTATGAATAATCAGTACGAAGAATTTCCTTGCTTTACCAATCAATTCAATAACTTGCTTCTTGGAAGATTCACTAAGTCTATATAGGTTTATTCTATTTAATAAATCATGTTCTACATTCAATAATTCATCTCTTGAAATAAAGTTTTTAATGCATACATCAAGTTTAGAATTTTTTATTTTTTTAAAAATCATTTGATACTTTATTTTATTAATTAAAATCAAAGTAAAATAATTTTATAATTATCTACCAATTTGAATTAATGAAATAAAATATTAAATTATTTTAAAAATTTTGAAATTTTTTTACAGACATAATCTATACATTAAAAACTTTAAATTCAACGATTAGATCGTTAAAATTTAATGTAAAACATAAATTATTGAACAAAATAAGTCTATCTAAACTATCTCTTAAAGTAGACGAATCCATATATATATATATATATATATAATGGGAC